TTACAATAACAGAAACACTACACTAAATGTTTTTCTGTTGAATATTTTGTGGTGGATTTACTCTGTTCTTTTCTGTCTGGTGATGGCTTGAGTAATGTGAGTCAGAGCCCAGGAAGGCCTTTTAAAAAAATAAAAATAAAATGCCAAGCTTTTAAAGCAACTTAAAGGCAGGAGCGTCTCAACTTGTCCTGGAAATTTAGGGGAGAAAGATAAATAGCTCTGTACACAAATGTGAAACATGTAATCGCTAATTATGTGGCTATAATCGCCAACTTGGTTTAAATTAGATTTTCTGTGCTTACTCAATCAACACATGGTCCAGTGCTCCTGCAGTTTACACAGCCAGGCTCTCTATCTGCATTGCAGTTCTTTTTTTAAAAAATTACACATGAGCTAAGATTTCAGCTTGTTAAACATATGCTTACTGAATGGGTTGAACCAAAATCTCCTTCCCCCTCATCAATTGGTTGTATCAGTTGTGAAAGCATGCCATATGCATCTTAAGATAGGTGACTCAAGCACTGGATATTTTTTTAAATTTAGGGCAGTGTAATGAGTGTGTAAAGTTTAAATATGCGGGATCTTCAGCTATTCATTAAAATCTTGTAAGCTACTGGGTCAAAAGGGGAAGGGGGGGGAGTAAAGATACCTAACCACCTATCAATTCAGTAGTTACATGAGCTGAGTTCCCTTCTGTATGTCCTAGCAATCCTTTAGGGAAACAATGCCAAGTATGACATTGCAGTTAAGCTTCATGTGCTTCAGGATAATGGCTTTGCGAAAGTTAATATTTCCAGAGCATCTGGAGGAGAGTTTAGGTTGTGTAGCGTCATTGTTGCTGGATGAAAATCAGATGCTTGTTTCTGCTGCAAAAATCCCCCAGTAACTTTTCTGTTGTCAGTACCATTGCTTCAAAGAAAAATAAGACACAGGGCAACTTCTGTCATACTGAATGTGAAAGTAGATAAATGGTGAACACAAATGTGAAAGGCACACAGTAACACCTATTATACACAGAGGTTCTTGACTGTAACTTATGCAGCTAGCTTCAGGGGGTAGCAGAGTTATTCTGTACAGGATAAACTTTAAAGTGCTACCAGATTATTTGTTGTTTCTAAAGACTAACAAAACATGTAGATGGTATCGTGAGCTTCTGTGGGCACAACCCACTTCTTCAGATGACCAGAGTGTTGGATTTCCAGAACTAAAATAAATAGAGAAAGAGATAGGGGAGAGGGAGAAACAAGAAGAGGCAGTAGGTATAAAACAATATCAAGGGGAAAGCTGAGCTGCAATGTAACAGGAAAAACAAACAGTCTATAATTGGGGCCTGAAGAGGTACAGACAAAACGGCAGGTAACAGGCAAAATACCTGCCAAATGAGGGTGCTCAGGAGCTGGAAGAGCTAATTCCCAGGACTAACCTGCAGATGGTAGTGAATCCAAGGCACTACAGAGGATTGCCCAGATTTTCATCATGGCTCAACTTTTGTTTATTGTATATGGGTTAGTGAAGAGGAAAGGTTTGCCTTCAATATGTGAATGACATCTGTATCTATATTTCTTCTGATTCTCAGTGTGATGTGAACTGAGGGAAGGTGGGAGGATCTATTGGATCACATGGGGAATAGATATTGAAAACTTTTTCTCTTTTTAAAATTAATGAATATAGTCCTCTGGTCAATATGCATTGCCATTTTATTGGCAAGTATGTGTGATTTATGAAAAACCTAAATTGTACATTGAATCAAGAAAAGTAAGCTAAGAGAAGCTGTTGAGAATATGGAAGACAGATTATAATTTTTTATATGGAGAGATGGAAAACCCTTAATGATTGTTTTATATATGCAGGGTATTTTTCTCATTGAAGGACATGTAGTAGTCAGGATGTACTGGTGTGGTGTCCTGGTAGGTCACCTACTCCATCAACAGTAATAACCAGGGCTCGCCGAACTGCGGCGAGACCCACTCGCCAGCCTCACTGTCCGGCGATCTGCGCATGCGCAGATCGCCCAAACCCAGCTCTTCCTGGTTACAATCTACTCGCCACGGGTGAGTAGACTGTATAATTTGTTGATCCCTGATGATAACCATTCGGCTCCGTGTGTGTATGTTGTGTTGGCTTGTGCAAATATTCAGCACAGCAGACTCTGAGAGAGCTCCCAAAGACCCCGCAAGCAGGTAAGAATCAAAAGCACCTGGCCAGGTTTGTCAAAGTACAGTAATATTTGTCAATACACTCTGCTAAACCACAATGGATATGGACCCCATGACAGTTGTTATGACTCAGTCAGTGATCTGGGAATCCATTACTCCCTCCTATGTTGGACAAAGAAACCACTTCATATATTGGTACAAACAAGTTGCACATCATTCCTGACATTATCAGGTTTCCACACTATGATGTAACTTAGATACCACCCATCACCCTGAATCTTGTGGTTCAGTTAAAACATCTCTCCATCATTTTAGACCCTCTCCTGAACCTGGATCACTATCTGTGGGGCATGTGTGGCTACCACGGTCCTTAGTAATGAGGTAGTATTACCATCCTTCTAGAATGTGCTTTCAATGTATGCCAAGTACCAATTACTGCTTTACAGTAAGTACTTAGTAACAATTATTGCTCTACACCTGGGCCTCTTACCAATTAGTGTTTTACACTATCAGTCCTGTTTGTGCCAACTTCTGTGAGCAAGGGCCTGCCTCTTGCTCACTGCTTACCTTTGCTTTATATTAGAAAAGTCTTGACCAGTGTTAGCTAGGCCTCAGGTCTCAAACTAGGCCTCTGATACATGGGCTTACATTTCAGGCCCTCCACTTACTATAGGACATAAGACAAAATTGATGCTCATTTTAATTAAGATCCTCAAAACACGAATGTGTGTGTGTATATGTAAGATGTGACTGCAATAAAGCCTTTGGACTATGAATAGTAATAAAAATAAACCTTTTTCAAATTTCATTTTAACAATTCACTAAAATAACTCCGACCACATATATTATAATCTCTCATGCGAGTGAGTACATTTGGGTTCATAGCAATATTACTATAACAAAATATATGTTTATAATAGGTTTCAGTGATTTTTTTTTTCTCCTCTAGGGAGTTTAATTGTAATCTGATACTGCAATATGTCATAGCTGCAATCAACAAATTATCTGAAAGTGTTTGGTTTTTAAACCATAAAGACAGTCAGGGTGTATCTAGACTGGCAAGATTTTGCGCAAAAACTTGCCAGCTGTCTACACTGGCCACTTGAATTTGTGCAAGAGCACTGACGTTCTAAGGTAAGAATTCAGTGCTTCTTGCACAAATACTTTGACTCTCCCGCTCAGGGATAAGCCCTCTTGCGCAAGAATACTTGCGCAAGAGGGCCAGTGTAGACAGGCACCTTAATTTTTTGCGCAAGAAAGCCCGATGGCTAAAATGGCCATCGGAGCTTTCTTGTGCAAAAGCGCATCTAGATTGGCATTGATGCTTTTGCGCAAAAGCACTTTTTGCACAAAAGTATCTGTGCCAATCTAGATGCTCTATTTTCGGAAATACTTTTAATAGAAAAACTTTTCCATTAAAAGTATTTCCTCAAAATCATGCCAATCTAAACGCAGCCTGAGTGTTAGTGTGACTTCTTTCTGACTTTTCTCTTCCTTTATTTTTTTTTAAAGACCAAGAACAATAAAATATTACTGTTCAACAAAAGGAAGAATGCGTCCTTTTCACTATATTGTATAAGGCTCTCACTCCATCACAGTATTGTTCAGTTGAGCCTTAACTTTAAAACAGAATTTTATTGGTGTAATGCTCTTCCACAACATTAGGACATATCCTATAACTCTGAACAAGGTGACAACACAGGCTAGCTCTATGGACATGTAATGACATGCCCTACAGTTATGTTTTGAGGAAAGCAAAGTGGACTAGATTTACAAAATGCCAGGAGAAGAGGAGGAGGAGGAGAAGGTGGTAGAAATGATTATTTCCCTCACCTCCTCATAATCTTTAGTCAGGAAGTAGGATGCTTTCCTAGCTCAATAACTGTAAATTGCCACTATAAATGATAATGAATAATCACTGAGAATGATTCTATAACTTAGTGGCTATGGTCCTTACGTGGGATCTGGAAAATCAAATGATTCAATGATTCTAGAAACTGGAAAGGCTTGAATAGGAGAGACTGAGGGTACGTCTACACTGCATGCTTATTTCGAAATAAGCTATTCCGAAATAGTTATTCCAAAATAGCTTATTTCAAAATAGTACATCTACAGTATAGGGAAGCCTCAAAATTTAGTCCAAGGCAGGCTTCCCTAATGTAGATGTGCTATCTCCATTTAGAGCCCCAGGAGGCACTGGGAAGGAATAACTTAGAATGGACCTGGTGATGGGCTATTTCAAAACAGCAGCAGTGGGGAATCTATACACCTTATTTCAAAATAGCTCTTTTGGAATAGCCGTTATTCCTCATAGAATGAAGGTTTACAGATTTTGAAATAAGCCGTCCGTATAGCCAGACAATGGCCCCCCCGTCACATCCATCTTGCTTGCCCTTCCAAGATGTCTCAGAGCACACAGGACACAGAGAGCAATAAAATCAGCATAGTCTTTGATGCCTTGAGAGAGGCCCGGATATGCTGGCTCATCTGACCCTGGATAACTGTAAACACAGATAAGAGAGGATGATCAAGCCAATCCGCTGACCTAGAGGCTGTGAGAACTGCCCTTGGCTGGAACCTATGTTGATACAATCACACAACTGTCTCTGGGAGAGGAATCTCCCACTGAGTAAAGAATGCCCAGTACTCCTAATTTAGTTATCTCTCTTAAAAGTGTAAATTAAGTTCACAACTCCCTTGTAAGAACAGGCATCACAAAGACAAACCAGCACAATTTGGCACCATAGATAAGAAAGAGAATATGTGACCCCACAGGTATAAAGATGGGCCCAGCAGCACACTCACTCTGAGCGTCAATCTACTATCTACCTGCTGGTTGGGTTAGGTAATTGCCTCCCGAGGTCCACATGGGGATGCCCAGCCTCGTATTCGTCTTTCCCGGGGAATTGAGTGACCGGTCTTGGCCTGACACTCTGGAATCGAGAGATGCAGAAGGGGGTAAAAATTGTACCCGTATGTGTCCTTTTGTTTTTAGTGCATGCATACAATTAGAGCTCTTTAAAGATTAAGCTGTCACTTGGTACCGTTATTTCTATCTTCCTTTTCCTTTGTAACCACTTTAAGACATGTATTTGCTAGCAGTTAAGAAGTAGAACAATAGCCACTGTAACCATATGCTTTATAAGTCTCTTTCATAAACCTGTAACTGTAACTGTTTAAGCTTTAACCTGACTCCTCCTGTTTCTGTAACAGAACCAGACACAATTAAAAGAACTCCAGCCAGTTATGGGGGCAGACGCAGGCAGAGCTGGGCGTTTGGGTCCTGTCGCCTCCACAGGACAGACTTCTGGGGCACCCGTCAGCCTTCACAGGTTGCCTGCTGTGAAGGGACTTTGTGTCCTAGCAGTCAAAGACTCGGGTGTAATAAGCTCTCCATGCAGACTCTTGGGGTACCTGTCAGCCTTCACAGGTTGCCTGCTGGGAAGGGACCCTGTGTCAAAGACTCGGGTGTAAAACTTTGGGGCACCTGTCAGCCTTTTCAGCTGCCCACTGTGACGGGACCCTGTCCTAGCAGTTGAAGACTCGGGTGTATAACACACACACACCATGCACTGCCCTGACCATCGGCTGACAGTCCGTTATTTCAAAATTATTTTGAAATAATGGAATGGCTGTTTAGAGGCTCACATTGTTGTCTCGAAATAATGGTGCAGTAAATGCACCCTGAGAGTCCTATTCCAGAATTTACTATACCCCAAAGGTGAATATACTCATCTGCAAGTGGGGTATTAAATTCAAATCCCTACTCCACATTAGACAGAGGGGTGACAAAAATGAACCTGCATGTCTCTCACCTTAGAGGAGTATCCTAAACACTATCTTTAGACTTTAAAAGGGAGGACCTCTTCCTTTCTCTCTCTACCCCCTTGTGGTCTTGAGAAGCCAGACCTCCCTGTTTCTGTCAAAATGATTCAAACAAAAACTTTCTGTAAGGTTTTGACTTTTCAGTTCAGTCAAAGCTATTAGGCAAACTTGACATAAAATTGTGAAGGCTTTTGAGTTGACCAACACTCCATTTTTCAGCAAATAAATTGTTCACTGAAAAAAAAATCACCTGGCTGTACTCCAGAAATGGAAGCTTTCTGCAGTGGGTCATCTATTAATAATTTCCTGTGATGGCTGAATCTTAAGATTCAGAGCCTGATTCTGATGCCTCATTATGACTGCATTAAGCCGTCAATTAAGTTGGAGTAAAAACAGTGTAAATGAGAAAAAATCCTGTCTTTTACAGCTTCATATTTGGGTGGTTATCCAAACTCAGACAACTTAAGTCCAGCTTAACAGACTTAAAATCTCATAAGAACAGGCTCTAGGAAGATTTTTTTGTACTTCATCTTTTCTGGAAGGCTGGAAATAGCACAATTACAACCTTGTTCAGGATATTTTAGAGCTTCTTTTTCAGTTCTGGTCATGACAGGAAGTTGAAAGGGCCACAATAATGAAGAGAATTTTAAAAATAAATAATTTAAAAAAGAAACACTCTTGGTACACACTTTCCTCAAACTCCAGAAAGTTTGCTAAGAATGTCAAAGTAAGATTTGTGTTGATTCTAATTTTTTCTACAAACTGGTTCTTTATTGCCTGTATTCCTGACAATTAAGGATTATGATTATATATTTTTTGATCTTGTAGTTTAACATTTTTATTTTATCTAGAAGCAAGCATTAGTTATGTGCCCTCTAGTGATCATAAAGAATATTTGTTTAATTTCCTTAGTGATTTTTGTAGAAATTCCCATAGTATCATTTGTACAGTTTTAAAAGCTTAACTGCACTGAAAATGTCTGTTTGAGAATAAACAACAACTTTTCTCCACTGATAAAATCAGGTATAGGAAAGTGCATTCAGTGTATATGAGATGCAATGATCAAACCCAGCTGATTTTGTGGGTTGTTATTGATTGTTGTTAAATGAAGAGGCAACATGAAAGAGAGAATCTGAACTGATTCCAGTAAGCATGAAAAAAGGAAAGGTCTAAACAAGTCTTCTAAGCAGGACTCTTTGTAGGATTCTTTTCTCCTCTTTCTAGATCTAAATTGCGCAAGTAAGTGAAAAGCTGTCTTCTACAGAAATAGCTGAGTACTGATGCAACTCTAAATAATAAAGAGCAAATTATGGTTAGAAATGTATGTGCATGCCAGACTGAAAGAGAGTGAAAGAAGCCCTCCAACTTCCATCCCTTGCAGCATGCACCCAGGAGACAACCAGAGTTAAGTTGTTGTCTTTAGACAATATAGCTAGAGCCTGTAGAGCAGTCAAAAATCCTAACTATCCAAGTATGTAGGATGAGCAATTATAAGAGGTTGTGCTCAAACTTTCCAGAACTCTGTACCCTTTTCAGGAATCTTGTCCCCAAGTTTCTCCTCACTTAAAGACAACTTCCTTAAAATCAGAGTGATGTGATGCGTTTGTATTTTTAGTCTATTACTGAAAAATTGGTATTTTTTAATGTTTACCACAATTATAAAATCAATTGGAATATTTTTTCAGTGTATAGTATAGACAGCTGTATTAACTCGTATGAATTTTAGTGTGTATTGACTTGGCTATTGCTTTTTATGTAGCCTGTTGTAAAACTAGGAAAATATCTAGATGAGTTACTGTACCCCTCGAAGATCTCTGTGGCCTTATGGGTATGAACCCCTAGTTAAGAACCATTAGTTCAAAGCACTAGCAAGCTGAAATAACAACATGAGGCAAGGAGGATGAACATGGATTCTTTGTCATTCAGCTATGTATCCCTCCAGCCTCACACTGAGCTCCCTTCCCAATATCTATACTATGCTCAAAGCCACAATTTAGGCCAAAGCCTGTAAAGAAAAGGAAACAGATAAATAAAATGGTCACTCTACAAAATCAAACCCACAAGGATAAAAGTCTCAGAGAGGTGACTGTTAGTCTGTAACTTAAAAAGTAGTACCTGCTCATCTCAGATATTTGTTAGTCTCCAAGGTGCTATAGGATTAGTCGTTGTTTTTTCACAAAGAGATAGTAATCAAAGAATCCATCAAACTTTTAAAAAGTTAATGATGTGTAGAAGTTCTATCTCCACATTGTGGAGAAATGATACATGACTTTGTGCTACCAGTATTAACTTATGTACCAAACTGTGCCCTATGAAAATTCATAGCCTACCTAAATGCTTCTGCAAGCAACTGTATTGAAAGAGCAATTTGTAAGGTACAATTCTGTTTATATGGAAGACTCTGTATTGAGCACTTGGGAGTGCAAATCACACTTCTATGGGTGTGGTGAATTCTTTTACTCACATAACATACGAGTAGCCCAGTTCAAAATATCCTTAGATTTGGGAGGACGGGATTGTGTTTAATAACCTGAAACAAAACCCCTCATTTATATTCTTAAAAATGACTTTGGATGCAGTCTTTGAACTTTATTAAAAAGTGTCTTTGGAAATATAATTCACAATATCTAAACCATTTGGCTTTTATTTCATCTGTACTCTTACAATTTATTAAGCTCATTCTTTCTCTGCCTCTGTTTTTTATCCTTCTGTAATGAACTAGATGTTAAGGAAATAGAATAATGCTTTGAAAGAAAAAATAATTTGTCCTGTTATATTTCCCTTTGATTTTAAATTGTTTGGATACCAGTATGTAAGGCAAAAATAATGCCAATATCCTATGATTTATGTTGTTCATGTTAGGCATGTACAATCAAACCTAGAAGCCAATCTACATCTTGAATACCCACAGGAGGAGCAAACAAATCTTTCACTTAGGAAGTACATCCCAAAATATGAACATACCATTTGACTCCCCAAGCTATTACTCTCAGGAGTAATGGGACCAACGCTTTTCAGTAAATTCATAAGTGATCTGGAAAAGGGACTCACAGCCAGATAGTCATTTTGTATCTACAAATTTTGCCAAAATTACAAATTGAATAGGAAAGTATATGAAAGTGTGTATGTGACACAAACTCAAGACAGTTAAGACCAAAGCAGAGTACGAAGAGTTAGAAAGGGATCTCACAAAACTGATGACTGGGTAACAAAATGGCAGGCGAAATTCATTGGTGATAAATGGAAAATATCCCAACTATACAAAGTGAGAGGGTCTAAATTAGCTATTAACACTCAAGATAGAGATCTAGAGTTATTGTGAATTGTTCTTTTTAAAAACATCCACTCAGTCAGAAAAGTTAATCATGTTAGGAACTATTAGGAAATGGATAGATAAGACAAAATATTACTATGTCACTGTATAAATCTATGGTACCCTCAAACCTTGAATACTGTGGTGTTTCAGACACACTTGTTTTAAAAAAAGATGTATTAGAATCAGAAATAGTACAGAGAAGGGCAACAAAAATATTATCTCCTCATGCAGTTTCTGTAGGGGGATATATTAAAAAGACTGACTTTTCAGCTTGAAAAACTGATAACTAACATGGGATATGGTAGAGGTCTATAAAATTGTGACTGTTGTAGAAAGTGAATAAGGAAGTGTTATTTACTCCTTCACATAACATAAGAACCAGACTTTACCCAGTGAGATTAACAGCCAGCTACAAACAAAGAAAAGGAAGCACTTACATATGCAATGCAGTCAACCTGTGGAACTCATTACCAGAGGCTATTGTGAAAGCTAAAAATAAAGGCAGTAAAAAAAAAAAAGACAATTTCATGGAATATAGATCCATTGAAGGCTAAGGTAATGCAACCATAGGCTCTAGATGTCCTTACCCTTTGACTGCCAGAAGTTGGAATTGAGACACGTGAATTGGCCTCTGTCAGAAAACAGGATATTGTGCTAGACCATGGGTTCCCGAACTGGGGGAAGTGCCCCGTGGGGGGGGGCATGAAGTAATTCTAGGGGAGGCGACCCAGCCCCTCCTTCCCATCAAGTTTTGCTGCCCCATTCAGTTCCTTTTTTTTTCTTTTTTCTCAACAAGTTTTTTTTTGGGGGGGGGTGGGTGAGGGTTTTTCAAAAAAGAGGGGCATGATGCCAAAAAGTTTGGAAACCACTGCGCTAGATGGACCATTAGTCTGACCTATTATGACTGTTCTTACATATCAGCTTTTTGGTTTTGGTGAACTGGTTCACTTATCTGCATACTACATAGTATTGAAGGTTATGCATTTGTTTCTGCATTCCTGTGTTTTTTACCAAACCTAATATAGTTGCCTGCTTGTGAGGACAAGTCTTATTTTGTGATCTCAGATTCTATGTGAGTTAGTTTTTTGGTTTTTGTTTTTTTTTTAAGGGGAAAATGAGCAATTACATATATAGATATTCTCATCTGAAGAATATGCAACTGTACCAGAAGGACCTATAAAGATAATTAAAAAGAAATTCAACAGATCAGGATATTATTGCTGAATTGGCATGCAGGTCATGGCCTATGTGTGATTCTAGCTTATCCTTTCACATGCATTTGTAATGCCGAAAATCATTATTCTGAAGTTGAAATGTCTCAAGCAAGCACTTTTAGCAACAGTATTAGTTCCATGTATATAATTAAAAAAGGGACCTCACTTGTCACTGAAAGTAAATTGTCTATCCAATTAAAAGTTGCAATGTGTTTATGGTTAAAACAAAACCACTGTAAATTAACTTTGCAATTTTGTGACTTATCTTTGGAAAGAGATGCTATCAAAATCATGTCCTAAATTATTTCAAAAAATGTCAAAAATCCCATTGAAAAACTAATGTGCTCAATGGGGATAAACTGTAAAGCTTTGTCAATAAATATTATTAGGACTACTACCTTACATATAGATTCAAGTATATTTACCCTAGTGATTACCCCGAGAGAGATTTAATGAAAGAACTATATGCACCAATAAAGGCATTCTTTATTACATTTAGCTTGCCAAAATTATTGTTTACAAGAAGCTTTGTTTTGCTCTCGGGGCATATGAAATGGTTTTTGAGAGTCTATTAACACTTTCATTTCCTATTATTCCAGTCATTGGCCTATTCTCCTCGAGGAGAAGCTCACAGAGGATCTAAATGCAATTACAAGTGTCAAAGGTTGACTACTGGGTAACTCTGTCTATATTTAATGCTCTTTGATTAAATGAAATGCATCAAGGCTAGTTACATGGTTAAAGTTAAGCGCATGCTTAAATGATTTGTGCTGATTTTCTCTGCCTCAGTGCAGATTGATTAATAGCCACAGCACCATTCATGCACACAGGCAATGCATTGGCATTGGAAATTGTTAAAGCCAAGCTAAGATTACAGATAAAAATGTCTAAGCAAAAGCAAGCACAGTCGCACCAAAACTGGTTAAGCCACAAGTTTTTCCCCTTGAACGTGCATCACAAATACAAGCAAGAGTATAATAAATCTGTCCTGGGCAGTTTGAAAAGCAACACTCTGCCATGAAATCAAGGGCATCCAGAAGTATGAGAAGGGTGATATAGCAATGTACAGACTATTGATAGAGTGCAGTAGCAAAGAGAGAGTCTGGCAGCAGAGAGTCACTATGGCCATAAGAAACGGAGGAGGTATAGATACAGAGCCAAGGTGAAAGTTAATTATAGAGGTTAGTATGTGAGGTCTGTAATGGACAGAAATAGGCCTGAATGATAGGATGTCACATTTGTATCCAATTTTTCTTTTACACTTGGATTTATTCAGATGCAGGAGTTTGATTTGAGCTAATTTTTATTAAATAAGAAACTATATTATATAGATGAGACTGTGCAGTGATGTATTGGATGGGGAAGGGGTGGTGGTAATGCAAACAGCCCAAAATAGGACTTACAGAATAACAGATATAGTAAATATAGCCAGGCTATATTGCTATGACTGCAGGGTCAATCGTGCACAGTCATACAAATATACTGCTACAGTATATTGTCCAGAGGATTCAAGGTGTCTAAAAGTCTGGCCGGGCCCCTGCGCAAGGTGTATGAGAGGGTGGCTCCATAATCCCAGAAGGGGCGAGGCCTCAGATAAAAGGGGCAGGGCTGGGGCAACCAGCCCGCAGTGTTTCCCAGAGTGTACTGCACTATCCCCCTTCCCTCTACTCCAGAAGCGATTTAAAGGGTCTGTGGCTCTGGCCCCCACTACTGCTGCTGTAGCAATGGTGGCGGAGAATACTAGCCATGGGGCAGTTGCCTCCTTTTGCCCCTCCCTGATGGCAGACCTGAGAGGATCAGTATAGAGTTGCCACTGTTTCAGGATCGGCCTGGAGCCTGACAGAATTGACATCAGTCTCCTGGTGATTGTTGAAAACAATCTGGGAAATTGTAATAAGATATTTTAAGAAAATGACATCAAGTCATGTTGGGGGAGGAAGAAGGGGGGGAAGTCTCCTCAAATAGCTACAGTCAAAGTTGGCAACCCTAGATTAGGAGCTAGACAAAAGTTGGTGTAGCCCAAGAGACAAGCCTATTTCTCTTCTCTATTTCATTCCCTATTCTTTTTTAACTTGTGCAACACTTCAAAATTCAAGTCTGAGAGTTTAAATTCATAATTTTACTAGACACTAAAAATCATGGATTGAATAGACACCCTGGATTACTACAACAAACTGTAACCCTGATAGTCCCTTGAAATATCTGATAACTATTTATACTAAACTGTCTGTTCCACCTTGTATTTAGCAGACACACTCCAAGTTCTTTCCCAGATCAGAAGAACTACTTTACGTAAGCTCAGAAGTCTGTCTCTCATTGGACCAACTGCTACTGATGAAAGAGTTTCTCACCCATCCTGTCTTTCTGGGACCAACAAGACTACAGCAACACTGTATTTACTTTGCACGGAGCCCTATTAACTGTCTTTATAGGTTAATATTCCAGCCAGACTATGGTTAATGACTTATATTTTAATTTCTTGTTTTTACCACTGATTCATAAAGAGCTATGTTTTATGGCATTTCTTGATAAATATATTTTGAACAACTCAGTCTCTTTGCTCATTAATGCATCCCTGTAGCGCTGGTGTCTATGCATCTGGCTGCTTCAATGAGGTTCAGTGGCACAGTTAGGGTTAATTTTTTTACACTCTGTCCACATCTCATCTCTCTGCATATTCTTTTAGTGCAATGTGGAATGATAAAGCCCTTTTGCCACTGATTGTAAGCAGAAATATTTTCTGGAGAGTGTCTCAGCATCTGTCTCCTTCCACACTTGACTTTACTTTCTAAGCCACTTCAAGCATTTTAATTGTCAATTCAGGATATTTTAATATAGTAGTTACCAATTTGTTTCTTTGCTGTTGGCAGTTGATCTATTCTGTCATTGAAAATACAAAAACAGCCATCTGGCATACTTGGATACATCAGTGCAGAAATGCTGGCTATGCATATATGGGGGAGAACCATGGCCAGCCTCTTCCCACCCTTTCCCGCCTACTTTATTTAGTTGACTTATCCCTAAGAAGGGAATGATCCCTACCTATCTTTGAGTGTGTGAGATCTGCAATTCAGTCCAGCTCCTCTTCAGGATACATAAGGGAGGAAAAGTGTACCCTACAAAGTACATCATTGTAAAGGGCAGACAGAATTTTACCCAGTGAGAGCAGCACTGTAGTCAGTTACATTTCTGATATGTATAGTCTGCAACAGGCCAACAAGGGACTACTGAAAATTAGGTTAGTTTTCAGGTCTAGCATCAACAATGCTTTCCTTTATAAATGCATTGTTTCAATTGTAAAAGCACACAATGTATATTATTTAGTTTTATTCCATGTCCTTCACTGAGCCTTCTGACACTGTATATGCTGTGACTGTATTTAACAGACATGTAACAGTGACAACATTGATAGAATAGTATATAAATTTTCCAGAAAAAGTCATTTAATGTATATTTAATTACCAGAAGAACACAATTCAGTTGACTGAAACTGGATAGCATTTCTTATCAAGGGTTTAAACATGAGTTTAATGGAGACATAAACATTTTAAAGAGAGCTGAGGAAGAGGTCCTTGTAAATGTTAAGCAATGAATGTGAAGGTACCTTCTGGCCACTGTTTAATATCAGGTAACACAGAAAAGCTGTCAATATAAAATAGTTGCATAGTCACAATGAAACAATATGCATTATTTATCAATAACAATACAGTAACTCCATTGGAAACAGTTATAATTACTTTGCAACAACACATTTTAATGTTGTTAACTGTGCAATGAACCTATGAAGTCATATATGCCTCACTGGCTCTCACTTGAAAAAGAAGAGACTTTTCAAAGTCTTTTCTTCCTCTTTTATACTGAGGCAGCCTGGTAGTTAAACATTCAGCTTTAACTTAATTTAGATGATTCCTGTGCTGGAAACCTCAAATCAAATTTCAAGGTTTAACCACTGAAAGGCCCATATACATTTTTAATTTGTTTTGTTGTTAACATTGTCCAGTGAGTGAGTGTCTTTCAGAATTCCTAAGACTGTTGTCCTTTTTTATGTCTGTGTGAATGTGTTTTTATTATTGTGTGGTAGCAAGCTCCATTATCTTAAATGTGCTATTACTATAAAATATCTAAACGCTGAAGATAAGAAGCAGGCTAATTAAACTAGCAAAGAGAACTTTCATTATTTTTTCATTTGTCCACAAACCTTTGTTCCTCCTATTTTTGGAAGAGTTTATTTGTTCTTAATTAAACATCCATTAGTAGCAACAGAGGGGTTAGAGTCATCATTCCTTTTATGCTAGTTCTCTGATGAGGTCAGTGGAATAACACGAGTATACATTTAGTGTAACAGAGTAGCAATTCTGATCCCATGACTAGTTCTGGTACAATTCAACACTCAATAAGGTTTTGATCATTTTCAATGAAACCTCTTGTGGAGTAAAGCACTATTCAGTATGAAGGAAATACACAAAGATCTGTACAATATATACATACTCAAAATATGGTTTATCAGGGTCTTAAACAGCATAAAGACCTTTCACTTAATCCTTTGCCCAGAGTGGAATTTTCTTCCTGTATGAATAAGAATGGTAAAATAGAATCTTCTGTGGCTAAATCCATGTTAGTAGGTTGTTTAGTTATTTGCAAATTAGTCTTAAAATATTATTACAATTCATCTTTGTATTTCTAGTTTCAAGCTGAGCAGATTTTTTTCTACACTTAGGTCACGTTTGTTTTCTGGTACAAGTAAACTTTCTACAAGGGCTGGATTTGCAAAAGTCATTTCCTTTCATTATTTTAATTGATTCAGGGACCTTATGGCTTTCCTCTCTGAGTCAGATCCCAAGAGTCCTAGCTCAGAGGTACACGAATGAAGCTTTTTCTATGTGTGGTATAACATTTATCTCTCTGGTCCATGGAGCATAAACTCCTTGTTCCTACTCCCACCTCAGAGTAGGAAATAGCTTATGTCTACCTGCAAATAAAAGGTATGGCGTTACCTCAAGTTAGCTAACCCACAAAGACTAACTTAGATAAAAATATCAGAGAAGACAAAACAGCTCTCCTTTTAACTTGGGTTGAACTGCAAGACTGTTGAGGTCCAACTTGTGCTGCTAACCCAAGTTAAAAGTAGAATTCTTGTGTCTTCATTAATGAATTAACCTGTATCAAAATGCTTGACTCTAAGGCTCTTAACATGGCTACAATGTCTTTTTCTATGCCTCCTATCTACATTCCACATAAGAACAAACATACGGGATTAGACTGAAGGTCCATCTTGACCAGTATCCTGTCTTCTGACAGTAGTGAAAGCCAAGTTACCCAGAAGCAATGAACAGAAGAGACAATCAAGTGATCCATCTCCTCTTGCCCATTCCTATCTTCAGCAAACAGAAATCCCTACCCATCCTGGCTAGTAGCCATTTATGGACCTATTGTCCATGAACTAACTTAGTTATAGTCTTGGCCTTCACAACATCCAAAGCAGGACTGGCTTTAGGAAGTGTGGGGCCCAATTCGAACAGTTTCAACGGGGCCCCGGCAGCCAGGATTTTTTTGTTTAGCAACCCCCCCAAAAAAACCACAGCACACACAAAAAAAGAGTCACAGGAACTTTAAATCACCATCTATAGGGCAGAGTCCTGCCTTCCTGCCAAACCCTGGGGCTGACTCCCCCTCACGTGGAAGGAAACCCCTGTGCTCGACTCACCCTTCCTGCGGTGCAGGGAAGCCACCGCGCTCCTCCTCCAGGACTAACGCCCCCTCCTGTAGCACGCCCGGCACTCCAGCACACTTCCGGATTTAGGGTGCAGGGCCCTCTTAGGTGCAGGGCCCAATTCGGGGAAATTGGTCAAATCGGCCTAAAGCTGGCCCTGATCCAATGGCTAGGACTTTGTGTGGAAAACTACTTCCTTTTGTTTTAAACCTGTTGCACATTAATCACATTAAATTACCCTCTAGCTCTTGTATGGAGGAGTAAATAACAAAGTGTTGCTTTCTCTACACCAGTCATGGATTTTATAGACCTCTATCATATCCTTCCTTACTCGCCCATTTTCCAAGCTGAAAAATCCCAGTCTTATTAATTTTTCCTCTCGTGAAAGCTGTTCCATACCTCTAATCACTGTGTTGCCCTTTTCTGTACCCTTTCCAATGTATCTTTTTGGAGATGGGGAGACCACATATGTATGCAGTATTTAAGATGTGGGCATACTATGGATTTATATAAAGGCAATGTAATATTTTCTGTCTTCTTATCTATATCTTAATGATTTCTAACATTCTGTTCATGTTTTTGATTGCCACTGCACATTGAGTGGATGTTTTTCAGACTGACCAATCACCACCATTTTTTTTATAAAGAAATGTTTTGTTTTGTAAGCAGAAGATTCACATACAGAAATGATTTTCCACAAGCCTGACAATATTGTATTCCAATAGAGAACTCTTTCTAGTCTGAAACAAATTTTCCATAGCTAACCTGGTATGATTGATAAATCTATTTCTACACGTTTTTTACAGAGCTTTAAAATTCTGAGATGTAGGTAATGAACATTTTAAACTTTTTCAATAAAGTGCTGTACAATATACTAAGACACACTTTTTATTTTTCTAAATCTATCCCTGACATTTGCAGGAGGCCGATCTCTAATGCAATTAGGTAGCTTTAATGCCTGAAACATCAAGGGACAAAGGCTCAGTTATGGGCTACACCAAATATGCCAACATAATCCACTTGTACCTCTTCTACTTGCAATAAATAGCTTGGGCTCCCCAACCATATAATTGCTTATACACATTCATACAGCTAACCATGTGTATTTGATTCACCTTTCATGTCTGGAGGTACGTGGAGGTGTATCTGTTGTATTTCCACTTAAAAATTGGCCATTTATACTAAGTATTGGAGCTGTTCTGAATTTGGACCATTTTAAATGTGCTATGGCTGCTGACCATTAACTGCCATGGCAATATTAAAAGATGACTTACACCCTGGAGAGCTGATAAACCTGTGTTTAAAATGAATTCTGATTAGCTGGGTTTTGTATACTCAGTGTTTAAAGGCTACAGCTGAACATGCTTTGTAATTTATAATTACTTCCAACTGAAGGCAATAAATTGACTGATTAGGCAATGTGATCTGTCATGTACTGGTTGCTTTTCACAAAAATGCAATGCTACGGTATAGGATAGTATGCCCTGGATTCTCACGTGAAAGTTCATTATAGAAAAATACCAGTTAACATTATATTGTATGAGTTCAATTTTTGATTACTGTAGATTGTCCGTAAGAATGATACAACTCATATAAACTTGTGTGCAGACCACCGTAAGGCAGTAGAAATCAGTGCTCTTGGCTAGAACATTCAAATACATTATAAATCATGTTTTAATTATTTGTCATCTTTTACTTCCATTAACAAATGTACCATACAGTAATTCTGCAGAATTACAGGATACTCAGCCATATCATTGCGAACATTAGGCA